CCTTTATTTAACCAGGCAAATCCCAGGACCTTGTTGCTGTGAGGCAACAGTGCTAACCACTGAACCACTGAGCCACCATGCTGCCTATATAGTTCATGAAAGTCAAAAACTGACAACTTTCTTAAGACTTTAAATGTTAGATAACAGTCAGGTTCAGCTGTTTTGACTACCAAATGAAACACAAGTGGGAGGAATATTTACACCATGCCAAGCTGGAAATCATCAGCAATGATCTTAGAGACAACTGTATCTGCCCATCAGTCTGTCAAGGTTTAGTTCCACTTCAGTTTAAAATTATTTGAAATCTTTCTTTGTTTACAGAGTGAAAGATTATCCATATGTACACAATATTAAAAAAAGAAGCTAACATTCCCAGGATGAGAAAAAAATAAAAATAAAAAATAGAACCAAACCTGTTTATTGGGGGTGGGGTGGAATAAATGAATAAATGTCTGGAGCAAAGTTGGGAAGCTTGTCCAAATAAAAGCAGAACAAATGAACACAAACAACTTCTATCAGCTTCAAAGCATGGCAGTGGAGGGTTGATGATTTGAGCTCATTTTGCATTCAAAGAGCTTTTGGTTATTGCATCAACCATGAACTCTTATAATTTAGGATGAAATGTGAGATCTTCTGTTTCACAGCTAAAGATGGACTCAAACTGCAGCTGCAGAAATAAGGGCTAAAAAAACACACCATTAAGGTGTTTTAACAAAAAATAAAGATTTATGCATAAATAAATGCTCCAGAGCTAAGACACAGCTGTAAATGTATTCAAAATGTTTCTAAAATCCCAAGTTTTTGCACCTAAAATGGTTATAAAATTAATTGAATAGTGGGATGAACTCATTTTTTTCACATATTTCTTCTGCTTTTTGGCTCATTTTATCTTAGATATATAGCTTGAATGGTGTGAAATGTGAAGCTTAGCTGCTTTTAAATTTTAAAGCTTAATAAAAATGGTTAGGAATGTGAAAGAAAGTGGGTTCTCTCGTTTAACAGTTAAAAACAGAAACACCCCAGACTGTTTCATACATCAGTGTGCCAAAACATTTTTGACAGAACTCCACATTCTGTTGAATGAGTCTGATAAAACAATTAAATAATATTTTTGAAATGATGAGGGAGTCAGTGAGATCATCCTGCAGTCCTCTCCCTGTCACACACACACACACTCACACACACTCCTCCAAGACACACCGCCGTGTCGGAGAGCAGTCATCGAGTTGAGACCTCCAGTGAGCCGTTTGCTGAGACGACAGTTTCAGCTAAACAGAGCGGTGACATTTTCACACATTAAAATAAATGAGGGAGGAAGAAGAAACATAATTTATAACACGTCCTGTAATTCCATCATTGCTCTTTGTTTTCCATCCGAATGAGGATAAATCAGAGGGCGAAGTGAAAGGCTGCTTTAGCCACTGCAACTTATTTTTGTTTACATAAACAAAGTAGTCGAGAAAGCAAAGTAAGCAGAATATGGAACTGTAAACATCTTTTATAAGGATAGGCCATAAATTGATTTTGCTTAAGTGCAACATTTGCTAAAACGGTCCCAACAATCGACGAAGGAGCTAAAGACTGAAACCACGCTCGTTGTTGTACAGTGATCCATAGATTCTCATTAAAAGCAAAAAGTATGACAAACCCCAGAGTGTACACAACAAAAAGTACATTTTCTTTATTACAATGTCGCATGTTCTTTTTTATGTTTCTGTGAAAATCCTGACGGGACATCCAGACTTTGTATAAAACTCCTCAATGGAAGAAAATTAAAATACAACTAAAATAGTGTAAAATAAACTATTTGAATGCTAAATAATAATAAAACAACCAAAACAAAAGAAGAAATATGAATGTTTAGCATGTATTTATGTGTCTCCATGTCTACATGTTTGAAAACGAAATAGACGAGCATCCAGGATCTGCATCCCGTCATGGAGGAACTCTGAGCAGCATCCATCCAACAAACACTGAAACAGTATCTCTGTCAGTAACAGGCAGGATGACAGATTAGAAAGCCTAAAGCCCCGACACTTGAGAAACTAATAAACTTTATGGAACAGAAAAAAGAAGAAGTCCTTATAACATGATCATCTCAGAATACATTAAAGACTGCACAGCGGTTGAGCATGAAGGTGTTGACACACACTTTAACTGTGCTTGTGTGTTTTGTGCCTTCATGAACACAACCGGTCTTATTTTACAATGACTTTACACTTTTCTAATGAACCTGCCCACCCCTGGGCTTTCATCCACCGGAGGGGGTGCAGGGAAATAAACAGGCTCTTTGAAGCATTAACTTATGAGTTAGAGTAACCTAAAGGGAGGGTTACCATAGCAACCAATATCCTCATAATGACAGCGCCAAGTGTCTAAACGAGGAATGAAGTCAAACATTTGCTTTTAACCACAATCCCAAGTATTACTACTATTACTTGTGTATTTTTACTCACAGGGACACTCTTGGGACCAGTTTGTCTTGAAGCAGCAGGATCAGCGTTTGTAAAAATGACTTTTTCTGTGAGACAAATTTCAATTTGCCCCTCAATGTATCTTGTTTCTTATAGAAAGGGTCAAATATCAATACAATGGGTCAACATTTAGACTATTATGACACACCAGGACCTACGAGTGCTCAAATCAAACTGAGAAGACGCTGGGCACCTTTATTAACCTAAAATAACTCTTGTAGTTGCAAGAAAAAGAATAGATAACCACACTGTAGGAGTTCCTGTTCCACATCTGGTCCTTGGTCACTAGAGGGCGCCATACTACCACACCAGCGAGCAATGTTTCCTAATGAGGCTCCAGGCATATATGAGGCACCTGATGATTTCCTTTCGTCGTTGGAGCATTACCCTGCCTATGGTTCGTGTGGTGAATCTCTTGTGAACACTTGCCTTTTTGCCTTGTGATCTTTCCAGTGTTCCTCCTGAGACCTACCTGATTACTGGACCTTCTAGTGAAAGAGTAAGTGTACTCTTCAGCTGTTCACCTCGCCTTTCAACCACACACCTTGGACCTTCTCATGATTGTACAGGATATTGGAACCAAACTACTTACCATCCATCTACTAGTAAGGGTTCTGATCAACTCCTTACTGCAGGACCCATCTCCTTGCTCTCCAGGGTTTTTAATTCTTCCTGAACTATTTCCACTGTAAATAAAAACACTAAACTTAAGCCATTGTGTCTGAATTGTTCATTATCGGTCCTTTCGCTCTGGTTATTCTGTTCTTGTGACACCAAATGACAACATTCTGTAGAGCTGCCAGCAGGAACGTTGGAAAAAAGAACTATCTTACCTTCACTAATGCATTTTTTTTTTTTAATCACTTCAGGTGCTAGATATTACATTTTATTTTCCTAATAGTTATGCTTAATCTAAAAAGAAATTTGAATTTTTTTTTTTGTTGCAAGGCGAGGTGGGGACCTAAATTTTTACAACAGGGCAGATCGAGGAGTGATTCAGGAAAAACATCTGAACAAAGTATGGAAGAGGTGAAGCGCATATGGCATGAATAATTTGTATTGTCCACATTACATTTAAAAATCTTTGCAGCGAAGCTTATAAAAACAGTGTGGGAAAACCAGGAGAGGAGAGAGATATGTGAGCTCTGACTATAAACCATTTTGCCTCCTCTCCCTGTGGGTCTGCTTTAAATGGACGTGGAGTGGAAAGTGTGTTTGAGAGTCTAAAGGCCCTTGATGGGATCTATTTTTAGAACGCAAGGCACAGAAATGCCCCGGCCGTTTAAATTAAAAAGCAAAGTGTTCACTGTGATGTTATTTTGTGGAATCATTTCACCTCTTAGAAACTGGTCATGTTTTATTAGACTAACAGCCGTCAGTGATGTTAAATTAGTTTGTGACATTTATAGGGGAAGTTACTACAGGTCCGTCATCATCATCAAGTTTACATCCGACCAGAATATACAGCTAATGGTCTGTTTTCTCACAAACCTGATACTCTAACTGTTATTCTAACTAATCACATGATTTTGTTCTTTAATTGGAGATCCAAACGCAAAAATGATCCAGAGGACAGCTTCCTCAGAAGTGATCATCTTCAGGGACAAAGCCAAGGACAAATGGTTGCACTCCATCATCAGAGGGATGTTCAGCTCAACTAATAACTTGGGTAAAGTGATGATTACACGATTAAAGGAGATCAAGCTCTCAGTGCTAGAAACGTTCAACAGGAAAGAACAATTCATCAGATTTTGACAAAATTCTTACATGAGGCGGCTGAAAGGAAAACAATGAATCTGCAGGAACCAAGAAGAACTAGCCCCAAAAAATTCTGAAACCCTGGTCACACTGGTGGAATGAACTGGAACACCATTTTAATGACAATTCTTTGTATATTCCTGGATATTCAAAGTGAATTCTAGACATTCTCGTTACATCCCGCAAGGCTCGATTCTTGTACCCCTTCTGTTTTCATTGTATCTGCTCCTATCCTGAGGAACATGGTCTTTCATTTCATTGCTATGCTGATGATTATCAGATTTATCTGCGCTTAAAACCAAATAGTTATTGCACAACTCACCCTCTGGTGAAATATCTCAAAGACATTAAGGCATGGATGGCTTCAAACTTTTTAAGTTTCAACAATCAGAAAACTGAAGTCATTGTGTTTAGACCCAGCTCTACTGCTGTCTCTGTTCCAGTTAACCTTGACTTCCTTGAGCCATATCTTAAGCAGTCTGTTCTAAATCTCAGGATGGTTTTGGACTCTGACTTCAAGTTTAATAAACAGATTAACTCTGTTCTACAAAAAATCTTCTTCCAGTTAAGGCAGATAGCAAAGCTTAAGTTAGTGTTGTCCTGATCTGACCTTGAAAGTCCATGCATTTGTTACAACCTGGCTGGACTACTGTAACGCTCTTTATGTTGGGGTCAGTCAGGTGTCCCTTTCACGTCTCCAGCTTGTCCAAAATGCTGCAGCTCAACTATTAACAGGAACTTGTAGGTTTTAGCACATTTCACCGGTTTTGTCCTCCCTTCACTGGCTCCCTGTACGTGCCAGAAATGATTCTAAAATTCTCTTGTTGACCTTTAAGTGCATTAATGACTTTGCACCTGCGTACCTCTCTGATCTACTTCATCTTTATGTTTCTTCTTGGGCGCTGAGATCTTGACTTGACTACTTTTAAAGGCCCATTCTTGTGGCTGGCTGGAATAATTTGCTCATGTTCCAAACTTTCCAGGTGCCTTTCAAGAGAAGAAATATCAAACAGCCTTCAAAGTGTGCACTAACTGCATTTTCAGTGTTCTTATGAGGTCCCAGCCACTGTGAATCCTGGGTAAATGTCCCAAATGCATCTTGACTGCCACTGAGATCTGTCTGGACGTTAAAACAGTTCAGCTCAAAAGTGCTTGGAATGCCGTCAGAATCGTTCAACTGCTTTTTAGGAGTCGCCTGATCAACATGAACATTTTCTAATTTCTGTTACAAGTTTAATAAGATGCACATGTCACGTTGCCAGGATGGTCAAGAGAACTGTGTCCATGTGCTTTTTAAAATGTCATCCAGTTATTGAGAAATGCTAGTGTCAGCAGCATTGTAGCTCATTCTTGAGCACTCTTGGTACACTCGTGGCGTTTGAGCTGCATTCTTATTGATTCCTGCTGAGTTCAAATAAGTGACTGGAGCTTGAGGTAGGATGTGGGGTTTAGAGCTGGGTTTGAAACGGTCCAAAAGGAGAGAGAGTTTGGAGCGAGTGCTTTTGGTATTTAGAAATCTGGATCAGAATAACGAGCTGAAACTAATCACTGACTCATCTTGATACTAGTAAAGTTGAACAAAATTCACAAAAACTTGTTTTGTTATAAATTTTGCAACACAATTTAATGTATATAAAACCAAATGTAATTTGCAATCTGTTATAAACCTAATATTATATGTTAAAACTGAGAAAGTGTTTTTTTTTTTTAATAAATTGCTTTTTTATATATTTTTTTAAACATCAACACAGTTCAGAAAAGTTGAGACAAGGTCATGTTTATGATTACTTTGCAGCACTTCTTATCTTTATCTGCTCTTATATTATTACTACCATCATCATTTGTGACTCACACAGCTCTGATGAGTCAGGGCCGGGACAAAAACCAGCTGGGAGTGTCTTGGCACCAGTATAAGACTTGTTGGTCCATGTGGAGCTTGCTTACGATGCCATCAGATCCTAACAGAATGCAGGAGGTCAGTGAACGCCTCAGACTGTGATGAGCTTTGCTGTTTTCACCAGACAGAAGTAAGAATTGGTCAGGAGAAACGTTTGACAAAAAACAAAGTAACAAACCTGTTAATGAGATGAGGCAGGTTTAGCAAAGAGTTTGTGCTGTTTACAGTCACTTTTAAAACTAAAATGAGTTATTTTCATAATGATGTTAGGATTTTAACAACTCAACAGTTTGAAACGTGGCTATTTTATTTATTTTTAATGAAGCTCCTAATGTTCTCAGTGCATGGCAGGAGAAATGACTGGAGAAAATCCAGCTTAGATAATAAAAAACAGCTTTTAGTGTTTGGTTTTTAAATGAGCAAGGCTTTGAATAAAACCTCTCTGGGATGTTCGTTAACAAAATTAGCAGCTACCTTTCCAGTAGATGAACAAAACCATGTTTAAAATTTGTTTTTGCAATTTTTGTTTCTCGTGTCACAACTTGTTAATGACAATATTAATTGATAATTAGCATTAAAACACAATTTCTCTGTTGCAACACTAAACTGTATTTTGTCAGTGTTTTTGGAAAAGTATGCTAGTTGTAAAATATATATATTCAAAACTTTAGAGCATTTTCCTCTGTTCTTTGAGTTGATGGCACCCTCTACTGGTGAAAGTTTTGTATTCAAGTTAGAACTCAATCCCATGACAATTCTTCACAAATAAACTTAATCCAAACATCTAACGTCAAACTTGATTGTCTAATATTTTAAATATAGCTGACCATATAAATATGAAGATTTTCTTATGGATATTTTATCCTTTGAAACCAAACAAAATCCACCCGAACAATAAGCAGATGGAAAACAGAAAACCTAATTGTTCTGTCAGTCTTTAAGTACTCAGGAAACAGACTCCTACCAAACACTTGGGGCCACTGTGGTCACAAAAGCCTGGTCCTCAGGCCCATCATGTTCCCTGAAACAATGATGAAATATCATCACACAGCTGGAGCATTTAAAACAAAAAGGATCATCTGGAAAAGGAGAAAAATCCCTAAAACAAAAAGCAATATTAAATTACATTAAATAAACAGAACCATTACTTTCCTGCCTTTTATTATTGGGGGAAAAGAAAAATGTACACATTTACAATAAAGTGAAAAACAGCTCATTATTACAGGTAAATGTCATTTAAGGATGATTGTAAAAATCCACAGTGCTACTTTGCTTTCACAGTTTTGTTTTGACCCATTTCATTTTTATTATGCTCATTGGTGAACTTCAACACAATTAACTGCACAAAGGCTTGGCTTGAAGGCACTGGGGCAGAGCAACACTTTTAAATGATCTCCTACTGGATCAACAAAGCGACGTCTGCCAGTAAGAGGCCACTGATTGTAGACTTGAGGAGCCAGACTGACCGCATGTAGCGACACCGAGGAGCTCTTCAAAAAAAAAAAAAAAAAAAAAAAAACTTCTCCTTTTCCAGTTCGCTAGCCACACACACTGGACCTTAAAGCCAAATTATTGTGGAGGTGGGGGTGGACCCATGAGGTCTTGGTGTCTGCCACTCCATACTGCTACATAAAAAGAAGGTGAATGATGCCGTGTGAGCAATTGGTTCCAATTGACAGAGGATTGGTCATGGTCAGCCTTCTGAGTGGAAATCCACGTGAGAATGTAGCGTTTGGACCAGCAAGGGGCACAAGAGGCCAACGGCAGACAATGAGGCCACTCAGAGGAGACTGGCTGCTGAGGATGTGTGGAGCACAATCTCCTCCAATTTAACCCTTCTTCAGCTAGTTATTTATCCTGCTTAGTAAATGAGACGCAGCCTGTGTAGTTAAAAATATCAACAATGGGCAGAAATCATCAGAACATTTGAGTTTGTCAAGGTTTTTTTGTTGTTGTAACTCTGCATCTAATTGTGTTAAACCAAAAAAAGTCAAATCAAATGCAGCACATTCTACATTATATGACCTAAAGTACCTCTCCAACCTCCAACAGGAACTCAACCATTACCATTCTTGTGACTTTTTCACCAATTAGGCAGGTCCTGCTCACTGAAAGGGACCGGCTGCTTTCAAGTCTCTGAGGGCCAAAGGGTTAGTGCTCAATCAGTCTGCTTGGAGAGGTTGTGCGTTTGAAAGCGCCACTAGTTGACGGGCCAAAGATATGGGTAGGGATGTGGGGGTAGGTGATCGGTGAGGGTAAGGAGTCTTGTCAGCATAAAAGAGAAGGCTTTTGTAGCCAAGATACTGGCCGAGGCAGCTCGGGCTCTCGCAGTCCAGCCGCCGCTCTCCTTCAGCTGATGACAAGAACCCAGCTGCTAATTATACGGCTGATGGAGAGCCACTCAAGTGGGACTGTCAGAGCAAGGGGGGGCCTTGTGTCTGCAAATTTCATGGAAAGTTGGGGGGGGTGGAGCTGAACTACAGGGGTAGGTTTTGTTTTGTTGACACTGGTGAGCTTTCAGCAAAACTTGTCCCTCTTCCAGACAAAAAGTAAAACATTTTATGTCATAATTTGTCTAAATTTTCTCTATTTTAAGATGCATTCAGTCCAGTATAACTGTGCAAGCTGGTCACGTGACACAATGTGAGCGATTTCAGTCTTATTCATTTCCAAAGCATTCACCACGTTTCCACCAAGCTTCTCCTTATGGATCCACGCTACACCATCACCTGGCCATTGGACACTGGAGCCGTCCCCGTCGAGTTCCATATGAAGTACTCGCTGGATAGAAGTTCTCGGGCTGAGAACCAAACAGGAATTCATGCTTCAGTTTCATATAAAACACAGTAGTGTAACAAAGATTTGGACGCAGAAAACCGCAGGCTTACATGTTACAATCCGTGGTTTGGCAGAAGAATAAACTTGCACTGAATGCTGGTCCACACAGCACCCAGACAACGTCATGTCAGGCACTTTAAAGTACAACTGTTAAGAGACAGGTGAAACTCTGAAAAACCCTTTTATTTATTTTAAAGTGAAATATGTTTTATAAATCAATGTTTTTTGTGCCCTTTTTTTATTTATCAAGTAAATAACACTTGAAACTCTTCTTGTTTACTAGTATCGATGCAAGAATCTCCTTATATGTTGTTAGAGTTAGAGAGAAAACGCTGAACAGGAGGGTAAAAGCTTCATCATTACATGTTCTTTATTTTTAATTAGTTGCAGACCTGAAATGCAGGAATGAATGTATATTATCAAACTTAAATGCACTTAATAAGTCAAACGATTTTACTTTAATTAGGTTTAAAATATTTCTGTTACAGGTTCTTGTTAGATTATTAAATAACACAACAAGTTACCTTAATGTATGCAGTAAGTCCTGTGCAGAGCGGGTCAGAAGGTCCAGGTGAGAGTCCAGAAAAACTTATCTTGGCATCCAACGTGACCTCACGAGACTTTGGGAACTTTTGACCTATATATTAATGAGAACAAAATTAGTTGTTAGTTTCTTTTTCAACAATATGGCTGCAGTGAAAATTATATTTTAAATACTGATGCTTATGAAGCCAATAAGTACCCAGAGCCCAGACCAGTAGGTTCTTCTCCTTCATCACATCTACTTGTCCAGAGCTCACCTTTAAGTCAGCATTGCCCATCTGACTCCTGAACAAAACAGATAAGTTAACTTACAATGAACTCACTTTTTGACTAAAGTGCCTCTCATTTCTTCTTCAGCTGATGCTTCCCCATTACCGGTACTTCTTTTACAAGTGCATCATTCCTCCATGGTTTAACTAAAATCTATCTGACACCACCATGTTTTGTCATTTTAATTATTTATCAGCAAGACATATCAATCACTGGTCTCCTTGTTTATCAGAAGTTCACGTCTGAAAGAAAACACTCTACTCCTAGTTTTAAGAGCTCACTTCATTCGTCAAAGATCATTCTGAAGGACCAATTTTTACATTCAGGGTTGATACAGCATGTTTTGTTCTTCTGCTCCGTTTACCTGTTGAAGAATGGCAGGTGCGCCTCACAGTACTCAAATGTGTTCTTCACTGTTTCATGAAGTTTGAGGGATGCAAACACACAAAGCTGGTTCTCTTCTTCCTTCAACTGATACGAACCGAAGATGGGTGGAACAGGGACCTGAAAAAAATTCCTAAAGAAGTTACCAGTATTTTTTTTTTTTAATGGACACAAATGTGTGCATCATAAAAAGATGACAAAGAGTGTCATCACACGCTGTTAAATAAATCAGGTCTCTCGTAAATGAGTTCCCGAGGCTCAATGGGATTAATCTGCATAAATAAAGGTTGAATGAATGAATAAAGCCCCTACGTTCAGATTTATACCTGAGAAGTGTAGCTGCATAGTCTGAAGGGCTCCAGGGGAGGAGAGAAGGGGAACTTATAGGGCCCAGAGAAAGCTGAGCCATCCACATTATCTACACTGCTGGCTGCCAGGACACTAGAATCCAGTGAGGTTACGCAGGGATGGACCAGGATGTCCTGCAGTGGAGAACCATTCTGAGGTAGTGAGAGGGTCACGGTCACATTTGGGAGCACCCCTTCTACTTCACACTGTTAACAGGATGAAACAATGATGAAAAAGGAAACAAATACTACGTGATTAATTATTTACTTTACAATGTGTACTTACTTTGCATGTCACAGTGCCATAAACATCCCACGAGTCCTGGCTGCTCTGGTTACCATACTGCATGGAACGTACTGTTTCAACCACCGCTACATTTACCATGGCTCGACCACGATGTAGGCCTGTCTTCCAGGCAGGTTGCTTCTGGCTACCAGCAGAGGTGGCTACTGTTGGTGCAGTAGGTACCCCCACTAAAGGAACATCAAGAGGTGTGCCAAGGGGACAGACCTGCAGCAGGACAGAGGGCAACATGGCTAGAGAAGAGGCAAGCCCGGCACCATCAGGCTTGGTCCCTGAGCCAAGGAGAAAAGTTTGCAGGCCTGCCAGAAAAGTGAGACCCTGTGACACTGACAACAGGCTGGCAAGAGGTGGTCGTGGCTCAGAGGGGACATCTACTAACGGCAGGCAAGCCAAGATGAGGGACCCCTGAGAGACGGACAGGACAGGCCAAAGCGTTTCTTTTCCATCCAGACGCAGCTCCAGAGCTGGTGATCTAGGACGGTAGAGGCAATCATCTCTCAGAGCTACATATGTCTTGTTTGGGCTGGAAAGCCCCAACTCTAGGAGAATGAGCTGCAGGACTGTACCATCCTCTGGGACTGCTACATAAGAAGAACCTGCCAGTCTTTTTGCACGGTGCTCCACTGTAGGAAACCTCCTGCGAGGGGGTAGACAGAAAAATGACCAAATAAACATTTTTGATTGTTTTTTTTTTCACCTTCAAGTAATTTAACTGAAATACGAAATTAAATGCTTAACAAAAACCTGCTTTTTTATTGAAGAACAACACACGCACACACATATTATCTATATATCTATATATCTATATCTATATCTATATATATATATATATACATATTATATATATATATATATATATATACATACATATTATATATATACACACACACATACACACAGTAAAAAAATGTATCTGCTGGTTTTCAATATCAAAACAAATGAGCAAGATGTCTAGAACAGCAAGAATTAGAAGCGATTTACACACCTTGAAAAGCGTACTGATGCATTTTCTCCTTTTTCGTGAGAAATAATCCACAAAGCACGAAAACTCATTTGTCCGGCTGCAATAAAAACATTGAAATAAACAAAATTGACGAGGTTATGCCTTCATATTTACAAATTGTCAGATAAGCCTCTTTTCTTGAGAAGCAGCTTCCTGTTGTTGACTCACGTGACCGCCGAAGACAATCAGCTGCCTCATGCGCATGCGCGCTTAGCAAGCAGCTGTCCCCCCACCCTTGCCTCCCATACCGGAAGCTGCACAAGCTAGCTGTCAACAAAGGGCAAAGCTGTGCGGTGTGTCAATATTCGTGCCGAATTCGGCTTTAAAGCCGTCTCTTGGTTGCTTCTCCTAAATTTAATGCTGTCAGCTGAATCCTGAACATGGCAACAACCGCTCAGCTGTTCGAGGTAAAGCTAACTCTTTAGCTATCAAGCTAGCCAATGGCTAATATTATTGACGCCAACTTAACAACAATGCTGACTTCATTCATCCTGTCATTGTGTGCGTTATTATGAGTAAAACGTTGACATGTGTTGGCTTAATCGTGTATATTGCTTGCAAAAACTCGAATTGTTTTAATCTGCATGCGTCTTTGGAAATATAATGCTTCTGCTGTGTGCAAGTGCGAAGCTTTAATTTAACGTTTCATATAGCTTAGGTTGAGCTCTTAAAGCTGGCATGTGTTTATGAAGTTGTTCATCATTTCATTTTGCTTTCTGTCCCTCTCTAGGAGCCCTTTGATGCAGATGAGTACATTGAAAGGTTGGCATGGAGGACTCCTGGAGGAGGCTCTAAAGGAGGAGCTGAGGCTTTTGACCCCAAAAGGTAACAAGTGTTTTTCTTTCATGTTATTGTATTGTATGTTATTCATTACTTTTCCCTTGAGTTTATGTCTTAGTAGGAAGATGCACTCAGTTTTACTTTATTTTGACTTCTGTTTTTATTTGTTTCTCATATACTAAACATTAGAGTTATATTTTTAAAACATACATCAGTCTCAGATTATCCTTTTACTAAGTATCACATTCATTCACTGTCATTTTTTATGCAAGTTGTGCGTTTTTTCCAATCTAGTGAGACTAAATGTATGAAAGGATTTTCCTTTATTTATAGTCGTCTTTTCTTATTTGACTACTTGTCTCCTTTGTACTGAGGATACTGAAAGGATGCCATAACCTTTCACTAATTATTTGCAAATATGATTTTTTTTTTTTTTTACACAGCAAACATACAAAGCATTTTACCTAGAAGAAAAAAAAGTGTTGTCTGAAAGGACACTTTATCGGGTTTAAAACTTTAAGGTAAACTTGCATATCTAATGTTGTTTTACTTTCTAATTTTCCTGTTTGTTATTTTTAAATAAGCATGACATTTCATATTGTTGATGAATTTATATGTCATAATGTTCTGCACTGTGGGTATTGGCGTTTTAAACAAAACAAAAAATTACCAATGTTGTTGTGATGCAAATTAATTAGGTTGTCTTGTGTTAAATGGATATTGGTGAGGGATTTTTTTAAAAACTCATATTTTTAACAAAGTGACATTCTGTGTTTAAACTATTTATTTTAGTCACTTCACTTCTAGTACTTTTGATTAGGTGAAAATATTCCCATGCAGTGTTTCTAACCACGCTGTAATTAAAGTGAAACTTGATCATTTTTAACTTTTTTTTAATACAAATCTTGATTAGCGTATTAAATTTATCACTCTCTAACAGAACGTTAGTCCTGCTGTGCTCACTAAATCAGTGCAAACAAGGCTGAGATGGGCTTCAGAGTTTTTGACGGGGTGTAGCAATTGAGAAATAAATATGTTTACAAATCCTTTGCTGCTTTCCCCCCTGTTTTTATGATGTTTACACTTGGAGACAGTGTTGCATCTCATAAGCAAAAATGCCACACCACTTTAACTTTACTGTACAGCCGTCCTGCTTTATCTACTTCAACCACAAACTATTGCCACCACCTCCTTGGAAGCTCTTAGTGAAGAGTCAGGGACAACATATCTGAGGAGGCCACCATACTGTGAGTCACCAGCCAGGGAATGAGTGTCTTTTGGAAGAAGATGACTTTAAGCTGCAGCCAGTGCCGAAGGAATTAGTCAAAAGATTATACACTCATCATTTTGGGATGTTTCCTTCTCTGTGAAATGCGATGCTGACTTAGAACATTTGCGCTGCAGTCCTAATGGCACTTAAAATGCCGCTGACGAAGCTGCTAGTTCTCAGAGCTTCTTAAGTCCGGGGACCTAGGAATTAAGTATCCAGCACTATTCTGTAACTATTATCTGTAACTGAGGGGTCAGTGGAATAGACTTAACCCTGTTGTACTCAACTGCATCTTTAAATGAACATGATTTTTGTTCTTTTTTAAATTATCTGTGACATTGTTTAGACATTCTGCATGTACTTGTCTCCTCTCTCTAAAAGGCTGTTGGAAGAATTTAGGAACCACATCGAGGAGCTGAGGCAACTGGATAAGAAGATCCAGAGGAAGGTGGAGAAGCTTGAGGGTCAGTGTCATCGTGAGGCCAAGGAATTTGCTCACAAAGTGCAAGACTTGCAGAAAAGCAACCAGGTGTGTTCAGTAAAAAACAAAAAAACACATTCATATTTATATTTCTGACTCGCTGTATTACAAACTCTTTGTTTCGTATCATTTCAGGTGGCCTTTCAGCACTTCCAAGAGCTTGATGAGCACATCAGCTACGTGGCCACCAAGGTTTGTCACCTAGGTGACCAGCTGGAGGGGGTGAACACTCCTCGCCAAAGGGCCGTGGAGGCCCAACGTCTGATGACATACTTCAACGAGTTCTTGGATGGAGAACTACGCAGTGACGTATTTAACAACCCAGACAAGGTGAGTAGGCAGCACGTATTTCTGTCACCTATGGGGAGATGTGTGTTTATGACCAGTGATTAGGGCCCCTGCTGTGATTCTGCTGGAGGTGAGTATGAACAGGATTATGAGGTAAACTGCCATGTTAATTTGTCAAGTTCATCCCTTTAGTCAAATCCCTCGACTAATTTGGATTAATATACTGTCTTTGCTGTTTGACAATAGCTGGCTGATTGACTAGCATGGATGTCAACATGCTCATGTCAAAACTAATTACATTTTCAGTGAGTTGTCTTGGTGGGAAGTCCTCTTTGTACTGTTTTACAACTGCAAAGAGTTTGTGGGAAGGAACACGCAAGGGCAGAAAAACGTGATGCATATTGGAAAATGAGATGCAAACGCTTTCTTATTTTCTGTCTACACACAAAATAAAGATGTTTGAGACTCCTAAAAGTTGGAATCTGTCATTTTGATGTGATCAAGAGATTTGGATTTGCTGTAGAGTAACGTGTGTTCGTAGCAACATGTTGACTGGATGCAGAGAATTGAGCACGGGGGTCAATCTTGCAGACGAAAGCTGGGGATGGAGCTAGTTTTCCCGAAAGGCGTGCAGAAATATTTGGCTAGATTCCTTTTCCTGAGCGTACCTCCATACGAGGGGGAAAGAGGAAAGCTGCAAGTGAATAGCTGAAGGGGGGATGGCTTTGCTAATCCTTCTGAAAGGGAGGGCTGGGCCGCCAGCGTGGAGACAAGTGCTGCTAAACCCTGACTGCAGGGAGACGGCTACATTACTTACATGGGATTTAGCTAATCTTAGCTGGGGGACAGATACTTAAAAAACCTTTGCCGAGCAGAAAGGCTGGATCCTCCTCACGGGAGCAGAGTAATGATGTTAGCTGAGGCAGGCATCTGCGGGAACAGAGGAGTTGCGGACGGTGGGCCTTTCGTAGGTCTGGGGTTTTTTCAGCCAGCGTGTATGAAGGGGTTGGGGAGGGGTGGGTCTCGATAGGGCCTTCTTTTTTTTCAACCGATATCCCTGGCCGGACAGATTATTGAAAGCGATTTAGGCTCCTGTAGGATTACAGCCCATTCAGAAAAGGCATGCCAATAAAGAGTTGGATATGCTGCTAAGTCAGGACTGCTGCTGTTGCTGCTGCCAATGCCCAGGTGAGCACAGCCTGTCTGTTATCAGCTTCCTGTTTAACACAGAGAGGTGGAGGAAGGCTGCGCTAAGATGATGATCCCTCAAGTGGAGACACTGCCGGCGGCCTGCCTACTACCTTCTCTCTGAATGTCCATCTCATGTGTTTCTGTGGCTTTTTCCCCTCACCTAACATCTTTCCTCTCGCTGACACTCCTACATAAATGCACACTCTCTCTCGTTCAGATTAAGGAGGCTGCTGATATCATTCAGAAGCTGCATCTCATTGCCCAGGAGCTGCCATTCGACAGGTGAGTCAGGCATCCTGGAGGCCGTTTTAAACTGGAGTGCTGTCAAACAAAAAGGAATAGGTGTATCAGTTGTTGTCATAACGTCACAAAATAAGTCCTGCACCAGAAAAGTGCATTTAAACAAAAATAAACCTACCTTGTCTTTTTTTAATTTTTTTTACTATTTTTTTTAATTTCTGACAGATTTGCAGATGTAAAGGCAAAAATTGCAAGTAAGTTCCGATAATACTGAAAACTACTGTCTGTTATAAACATTAACGTTGCTGCATGTTAAGGTACTTTTTGTGTGTGTGTTTGCTTTGCCCAGGTAAATACCATGACCTGGAGCGGCAGCTGATCCAGGAGTTCACTGCAGCCCAACGTAGAGGTGAAATTGGTCGTATGCGGGAGGTCGCAGCAGTCCTACTACATTTCAAGGTGACCCAAAACGGATACATTTAATATGTTGCTTGTCATATAGTGCATAATATTAATAACTTGAAGTCTGTTGTGTTGTAAAAGTAACACCTGTATGTTTCTGTTAAAGGGCTATGCACACTGTGTGGACGTCTATATTAAGCAGTGTCAGGAAGTAAGAATTTAAAGTTTCTATAACGCATATATTTTTACATTCATGGCTGTAACATCAACAGGCAAAACGTTTACATGTCGTTTGACTTCTTGTATTTTTCTAAGGGTGCTTACTTGCGAAATGATGTGTTTGAGGACACTGCAGCCCTCTGCCAGAAGGTTAACAAACAGGTGGGGGAGGTCTTCAGCAGTCCAGAGACGGTCATGGCCAAACTCATCCAAAACATCTTTGAAAACAAACTGCAGGTATTTTTACTGTAATAAACTTTGTCTGACTGGTTTGCTATACTTGTGGTTATATAAAATTGGCTTCGTGTCTGCAGGCTCATGTTCGGGAAAAACTGGATGAGACTAAGCATTCTGATGTAGAACAGTATCTCAAAAACCTCTATGACCTTTACACCAGGTAGTTCACTCGTTACCTTGTCAGTTTCATACATGTGCAGTTGCCATTATTTAATTTTCCTCTGCATTTTTTTTTTACACTTCCAGAACCACAGCGTTAGCCACAAAGCTGACAGAGTTCAACCTGGGCTCAGACAAGCATACGTTCCTGTCAAAGCTGATAAAGAGCATTTTCTCGTCCTACTTGGAAAGTTACATCGACATGGAAAGAGAATACCTTCATACTCGAGGGGCCATGATTCTGCAAAGATACTACGACTCCAAAAACCACCAGAAACGCCAAATTGGCCCTGGCAGGTCAGGATTTCATCTTTGGTTTGTTCGTATATTTACAGTCAAACTGAATATTAAAAATATGAATACAATCTTTTTTTTTAGTATTCAAGAATTGAAAGAGCGGATCAGACAGCGTACCAATCTTTCACTGGGTCCCAGCATCGACACCCACGGGGAGACCTTTCTGTCCCCTGAACTGGTTGTTAACCTGTTGCAGGAGACTCGTCATGCCTTTGAGCGATGTCACAGGGTGAGTCTCCTCTGCCTTCTGTAGATTGTACTGGTTTGAATTGCAGTGTGTGGTTTTGATGAAGTAAAATGTGCTTGATGTGTCGCAGCTTTCAGATCCTTCTGATCTGTCCAAGAACGCCTTCTCGATTTTCCTGCTGTTGGTGGAACATCTGTGTGTGGATCACATTGACTACGCCCTGGAGATTGGCCTTGCAGGTATATTCTTCTGAGGTCATCAAACAACAATATCCGTTTGCAGTTTTCTCAAACCCACAATTGTGTGCAGTAAGACTACAAATAACAGGTGATTCCTCCATCTAGATTGTTAAAACACCACCACGGCTATGAAGACAAGTAACATTACAGCTGATTGGATGGTTGTAGGCAAGATGAAACGCTAATTTGAATGGTTTATTTGGGGTGTTCTTACTTTTTTTTACAGTGATATGTGCACATTCATGTATGCTTTATGCTTTGCACCACTGCAAACCAAATATACTTGGGTATAAATAAATTAGCCTAACCTAATTTATCTGCTGGTATACTTGAACACTTGGCTTCACTGTCAAGCAGTTCTTTTTGAATAATACAGATTTTTTTTTTCAAGTTTGTTTATTCAACCAATGAACATTAATTCCCCATAAATGATATTGGATTATGTTTTCCTCTCCCATTTCATTTATTTTCCATCTTTAATCTACAGCAATTCCCTCTCCTGATGCCAAAAATGCCAACTTGTACTTCCTGGATGTAGTTCAGCAGGCAAACTCCATCTTCCACCTGTTTGATAAGCAGTTTAATGACCAGCTCATGCCTCTCATAAGGTTGGTCACAATTACATGTTATGATAGTCTGTATACTATTATGATAAATAATTATTTCCAAGTGCTCCAATTTTTTTGTTTTCAAACTTTTTCAGCTCTTCCCCAAAGTTGGCAGAGTGTTTGCACAAGAAGAAGGAGGTGATCGAGCAGATGGAAGTGAAACTGGACACAGGCATCGACAGGTCTGTGTGATTATGGCAGCTGATCAATATTCTAGAATCATTTCCTTCCAGCATGTGATCTTTAATTAAAAACAAGATGTTTTCTCATCGGTCTTTCTGTCACACAGAACAATAAACTGCATGGTGGGGCAGATGAAGCACATCCTGGCCACCGAGCAGAAGAAAACTGACTTCAAGCCTGAGGATGAGAACAACGTCATGATCCAGTACACCACGGCGAGTGATGCTGCGCTCACATCACGTTCTTGAATTATCGTTATTTATTTATTTAACAATACTGTAACGTTTTCCTCGACAGGCCTGCTCCAAGGTGTGTGCCTACGTCAGTCGGCAGGTGCAGCACGTGCGGAAGTCCATGGACGGGAAAAATGTAGACACAGTGCTGACGGAGCTGGGCGTTCGCTTTCACAGACTCATCCATGAGCATTTACAGCAATACAGCTACAGCTCAATGGGAGGCATGCTGGCCATCTGCGACGTGGCTGAATACCGACGGTGCGCCAAGGACTTCAGGGTGAGTGAGCGGAATGGATCTGAAACATTATTTATGTCATTAAACTAACAATTTAGAACAAACAAGACCAAGTTAACATCAGAGCAATTACTTCAGAACAACAAAAATAATTCTAATTCAATGTTTCAGCCTTGTACACGTCCTGGGAAATAAAAAAGTTTTTATTATTTAAAAAAAAGTAAACACGGTATGTTTCCGTGTCCTCAGGTTCCTCTCGTGCTGCAGCTCTTCGACACACTCCACGCCCTCTGCAACCTGCTGGTGGTCGCTCCTGACAACCTCAAACAAGTCTGCTCAGGAGAACAACTCACTAATCTGGACCGGAACCTCCTGCACGCCTTTGTCCAGCTCAGGGTGGACTACCGTTCAGCCAGATTGGGCCGACATTTCAGTTAATGACTGTTAGGACACTCGCTGCGCTCCGTCCAGAGAAATATGCTTTGATGAGAGGATGCACCTTTTACAATAATTACCATTTAATCGTTCCTGCCTCATGGAGGAGAGCTGCTCCAACAACTTGGGAAATGTGCATTTTACCTTCTTTTCATTATTTCTGTGCGCTGATGAAATTTAAATGTCCATCAATTTGGATTTTCTTTTGTTTTTAAGTACTAATCCATCATAAATTTCTAACATATTTAACATAGAAGTAAAAAAAAAAGATTCTTTGTAAACAAAAAAGAACTTCTTGTGCCAAATCTGAAAGTTCTGCAGCTGCACCTGTGCACAAGAATTGACTGAAGTTGTTTTAAACAGGCTAAAAAATCAATCTGCAGTTTCACTAAATACTGGAAACACTTTGTGATGAGATGAACAGACTTTTTGAATTAGACCTCCGTCTTCCTAAAGGCTCTTTTACACCAACAGAAGCTGCACCGACGGTAGTTTACTGCGCTTCATGTTGCCAGAGTCGGTGCAAACAATACTCTGAGATGGTCTCCAACTGGCAAATAATCCACATCCGTGCAAAACAGCAGAACAGAGCAGCAGTTAATGCATTATTCGACAAGATAAAATATGAATAATAAAACAAGGCTTCCATAAAGTACACTCATTAATAATTCAGTTTTTTATAGCCAACATTCAGGCGGAGGTGCATCTCAAAAACTCGGGACATTAATTTAAACATTTAAGTCCATTCACTCGGCTAGTCAGAGCAACCAGTTTACAAAAAGCATTGATTTTGTACAACAGGGAAATGGTTCTGACATCTTATTGTCTCAGCATGTTGTAATGAGGCCCTAAAAGAGTGCACATGATCACCTTTTTACCCTTTGACCCCAAACAATGAAAGAGAAGTCAAGAGGCCGTCGCAGAGGAGTGTGACCCGAGCTACAAAGAAGCCTGTGAATCTCTGGAGGTTCGGGTGGTCCTCTCACGGCTCAGATGATTCCTGCGATGGGTCACTGAGTACGTGTCACTGTAATTGCACAGATCAACACTTGCGCATCCAAGACGAGACGTTGTTGGCCTAATCTGTCGTGTTTCTGGGTCAGAGGACACTAAAATGTTAACTTGTGGTGATTAGAGAAAACAGAAATGGACTTCTTCACACGGATTTTTTTTTTTAGTTTTTGGAGGATCGTGACCCTGATTCCTGAAACTTTCTCAAAGCTGCTCCCACTGTACTGCCTTTTACCGTCATCAGTGAGTCAATAAAAGTTGCATTTTACTATCTGAAGAGGTGTGAACCAAAAGTTTGCCCGTTTTTTCCCTCTGAAAGTCACTTTCAAAGTGAGACTCTTCTTCACTATAGAAGTCATCAAGTATTCATAGGAATTTTTGCCACCAGAGTAAAGTTCTTTCTTTGACTTCAGGAAGTGAGGGGAGCCAGAGGGGATTAGATCTCTACAAGCTGATGAATTGTGTGCAGTAGTCATGAACTGGAGGAGAGGCGACTGAGAGCTCAGTTCCAGTGCCGGCTGCTTAGCGTTGTGTAGAAGGTACACACGGCGCTGCGCAAGTTCAAACAACATAATTAATTAGACTAATATGAATATTATCAATGCCACATAAATCCAATTCTCCCAGTCCTAATCACAACTAGATAGCTTGTAAAAATGATTTTGTTAGGCTCTGATGCAAACAGCGGGTCGTTTCCAAACATTTTGAAAACTATTTGTTTTTGCTGCGATTAATGTGGAAGGGGCTGGGGGGAGCGGAGCCGGGCCAGAGACGATAACTGGTGCACAGGCGAAGGCAGCGGTGCAGCCTGGCCTCAGGGACTCCCAGTACGGGCTCACGTATGAGGGGGAGGGATGTGGTTTTGGGGCTAGGTGTTTGAGCAGGTGGAGGGGATTAGTAATATTGTCAACACTGGAGAGCTGGATAAGACTGTCCTTTTTAACTCGTCATTTTGAGCCACTCTTGTAAACACGTTTAAAAAAAATAATAATGCAGCAGTGATTGTAGCAGACAAAACTTAGGTTTGGACTGACTGAGGTCAAACTGGTTTGATTCTGCTTTAAAAACATTATCGCCCACCGTCCAAAGGCAAAGAAGGACAATAATGTGTTATCACAATAATCATGAATTATTTAATGCAGGTGCTTCTACACCTGATTACCTTTTGGCGACAACACAAAAATGTCAATAACGGTTTCCGTTTGACATTTAGCTCAGATTTGGAGGGGTAGTAGCTGAGAGTCATTCACAACATATACTCCAAGTGCAATTCATTGTGTGAAATCTTTGCTAATAACTTTAGCGTTAACTCTTGTAGTCAACCCTGTTTGTACGTTAACGTGTGATTGTGCATGTTTTCTATTTAAGGTTTGACCAAAACTGCAGCAATCTTGTCATTTATAAAATTAAATTCTAAATCTGCAACAAGAGGCGGCGAGCAGAACGTCGAACATAAGCAGGGCTTAATTTGAGCCGGATCCTGCTGGAACTCTTATTTTGACTGGGTGCGTTCCTGTAACTCTTTGCGTGGATCCAGTAACTGTCAGGCTTACTAATAATAAAGTTATGAACAAATATGACTGCTTTGAACGCATTAAACTATATAAACACTAATTTTAAACACAACAAATTACGTTCTGCCTCTTCAAGTAGCATCTCCGTGTCTAACCCTGAAAAAAATCTCTGCCCATAAAGAGTGGTGGGGGTGAGTGCCGAGCTAACCAAACAGTTGTATGTGGGGGGAGCATAAACGTGGGAGTACGTGGAGTTGGACAAAAACAAGCAGGGACAGTGTCGGGCTCGGTTTCAAGCCCGACTTACTTGACGTTTCCTTAAGTTGGGGGGAAGCTTGACAGAAGGGGAGTGTTTACAAATGTAGGTAAATGTAGATGTTTAACAACCCATTAAAATACACCAAAATTCAGGAAATCGCATCTACTTTATTCAAAATATTCTGGGGGAGGACCCCCAGACTCCGCCCCCTCTGCCGGCCCACCTTCTATTTGTATTCTGGCATCGATCGGTTTACGAATTAAGCCCTGAATATAACTTTTTGTTTTGCAAAGCGACTAGTTAAAAACCTAAACGAGGAAAACAGTTTTGTTCAGTCATCATCAGTGTTGTTGAACATGCTCCATTTATAACTATCTTTGATGTCATTTTGATTCTTTAAAATGCGTCAATGATCAATTCATGATTGAGCTCCTCAGAAGACAAACTCTCTTCAGAGATGGAGTAATCTGTGTCTGCTGAACGATTGTGATCTAATAAAGACTCCTCACTTCCCTCCTATTTGTCTCCTCTGACAAATCAACCACGATTTCCTATTTGTCCACTCTTTCTGTACGTTCCTCCAAACGTCCCATGAATCATTGCTTTCGACGCCGCTTGTCGCTGTTCCCCCAACCCACCGGGTTGGGCCTGTCTACCTCCTGGAGCGCTGACAATAACGCATTACAGCAGTCAATCCATGTCAACAGCAGCTTTGCTTAATTCCTGCTAAACACGTTTAAACTAAACCTTCGCCTAATGATGCATAATGATTTGCTCGGCGGTGAGCTGGTGGCTCATGTCTTGTTTTTAGTGGTTTTATTTTCCACTCTGCATGACTCAGGTGGACTCATGGTGGAAGACTCTATTAAGGATCTCAGTAAGTATTAGTGGAACGGTTGCAACATAAAGGTATATTTTTAAACGGTGGTGTATTCATAGAAAGCCTGTTCTTTAGGATTCCTGGCTCGTGTGGTGTGGGCGCACAGCCAGCCCCTCTGATGCGATGCAGATGTTGCCCTGGCCTTGACCTCCTGCTCATGGAACACCCAGGCCAAAAAGGCACAGGTGTCGCACCACTTTCAAGTCTTCTAGCTGAGAGCGTCACAGCGCAGGGTGGAAGCTGTGCCAAGACCTCATCCTTTGCTCATTTTCTCTCATCTTAGCAGACGGATCTTAACTCTCCTTCATTCCTGCAATCATGCATCCTTTTTTCTCCTCACGTCTTATAAAGCACCGTTCTCTGCTGGTAGTGGCGTGTTTTCCGGGGTTATTTCCTGGCCCGGTGCCGGTGTTAGTCTCGCTCTCTCTCTTGGCTGGGCTCGTCTGGTTGACTGCTCCGCAGGAACAGACTGGCACTCTAGCTGAGGGCTCTGGGGTCCGCATGCACAACCCACTAAACACGTCTCTGTTGTTGGAGCTGCGCTCGTTTACAGCAGGACCGGACACGTTTTCTAGGACAGAACCAAACTTTGTAATGGTACATTTTCAATAAAATGCAAAGCAGATATGAGAACGGAAGCACTTTGGGTTGGAACAAGTCCAATAAAAGTGCATGGAGTGAAAATTAAAGGCATGTCGTGTAAAAACAAATTGATTCTGTTGTTGAGGGACTTCAGCGTTGAGCGCACGCACAGGGCAAACAAACATCTGTTAGGTGTGTAAGGCCTATGGTCCTCCTAACCCACTGATGTTGAACCATGGCTGCACATGCCAGAGAAGCAAATGAGGTCTCTCTCTCCTCCACTGAAGATGAAACACTGCATCACCAAAGCATGTGCGTTTGTCTAATCAAGCTTTTGCCCGCGGCCATGTCAAATGTAAATGAATAGGCTCGTGTGTGCCAGCCTCTATTTCTGTTTGATGATGAAACAGTTTGGTGAGCATCAGACAGAAGGGGGCACTGGTGCTCCAGTGTTGCTCTCTCCCTCAGAGCATGTCACAATGGGGATCTGCCTGAGGGATGGGGGGGGGGGGGGGGGGTTACAAAATGTTGCTTTTTTAGGTCTGCAAGCCCATATCCCTTAATCCCCAGCCATGATTGACAATCATGATTTAGGGTATATGGTGTCCCATTCTAATCCACGAGCAGTGATTTCATTTGCATACCTTCCGTGCGTGGCCTCATTTTGGAGGAAAACGGCAGCCTTTGAAAAAGATACAGAAAGAGAGAGAGAGAGTGGAGGAAGATAGAGACGAAGGAGGAGGAATAGAAAGGATGGGGTAATGTCTCTGTGTTTTTTTGTGTTTTCTTTATTTCTGGCAGAAGAAAGATGAGAGCTGGTCTTGCATGAGCAAACATTTCTCCTGACACACACACATGGAAAATACATACAGAAACGCAGTATATTTAGTAATGTAAAGCCGCAGGAACACACAGACGTGCTCCCCTCACACGATGCTAAACGAAATTGCTATTTGCTCATTTTACAACCAAGTCAGGCTTAATTATAATCATGGGAGTTTGGGAGTTACCATATAATCTCTGGAAGGTATTAAGAATTTCCCAGAGCATGCAACACTAAAAGAAAGAAACAAATACAAATACTGACAATTATTTCCCACATCATGTCACCCAGGGGGAACGTGAATCAAATAACACTCGGTGTGTCCACAGAGACCATTCATCCTCACTTTTATCTGCTGAGGAAGTGGAGCAGAAGTGGATGAAAGGTCAAACATTTCTCTGCAAAGTTAAGGGTCAAATTAGAGAGATCTGTAGAGAAAATTGATTGATTTGTTCTTCAACTACCATAAGACTGAATAATGTATTTTTTAATTCTCCATGACTCGATGTTAGCATTTAAAATGTATAGATTCAGTCACACAGTATAGACTAATCTCAAAGTGAGAATTAAAAATAAACATTTCATTACATACTTTTCTTATAAGCAATTTATTCAACACTATAGAATGACTTTGAAATTATGTCACGACTTCTTTTGAAGACAGAATTATCCCAAAAGGAGAAAACATGTACATTTTAAGAACAAACATGGCATTACAAGGAGCATAAGTTTAATTTCTAATGAAACACATTCACAAAAGTCGCGCAAGCAAAAATTAAAACCAACAAACCAGCCTAAATATATTTTTTAAATAGTATGAAATGATGCTCAAAATGTGTACAAGGGGTGGGTGCCGTATACCTGTGGAGGAAATGCACTTTATACAGTTTTGGAAGCATATAAAACTAGTGAAAGTGCATTTCCTGCAATGTGAATGCTTATTACTGAAGAAGTTGCTGAAAAACATCTGAGATTAGTGAAAACATGCATAGCTGAAACGAAAGAACAAGCCTAAATTAGCATAAGAAAGCAGAAAGAACAAATATTAGCTTTAAATAGGCGCAAACGAGTACAACAATAAGGAAATCAGCTAAAAACTGTTAAAATTAGGACAAAAAAAACCCATTAAGAAGTAGTCAAAAAGGCAGAAAAAGGCTTAACCTACGAGAAGGGTGTGTAAAGAGCTGAAATTAGCTAA